TTTGTTTTTCTTCAACATGAATATTGAACATTTTTGAAAAGCCTAGGTCAGTAATCCTGTCGAAAGTCTTATATTCTGGATTCATTTTTCTGATCATTAAATATTTTTGGCAAGAATATTATGTAGGTATAAATTAAACACTTATTAGTCATTTAAATAGACTGAAGAAATCAATTTCATCTCTGTGGGCCTTCATTTTTCACCTGTAAAATGAGATAGTAAAAGATACCTCATAGGCTCATGGTGAGATTACAGTTGATATCTTTGAGTACTGACCCATGTAGCAATGGTTCAATAAGTTATAATGTAAAAATGGTTACTTCATTTACAAACACCAATTAGAATAGAAAGGAGCCTCTGTATCAGAGTCATTTGCACATTTTCAATAACACACTTTTAATTTATTTCCCATAAGGTAGGAAAATGCAAAATTTAGTGCTTGAATTTAGAAGTTTTGACCCATTCTTTGACCTGCTTGAACTTAGTCAGTTCCTTGAAGGTTCCTGTGTTTCTATCCAATAAGAACACCTACAATTATACTTGAATTATTAAAAAAAACAAAAAGAAAAAGAAATGTCATATATCATGCTGCAAAACTGCTTTAATAAAAAACAAAAACAACAATAACAAAACTCCAGAAAACCTAAAATTGCAATCTGGGCATGATGGTATACACTTGTAATCTAAGTGACTTGGGAGACTGAGGCAGGAGGATCACAAGTTTAAGGCAAGCTTGATTAGAATAGAACTGTCCTGGAAGGAAAGACTAGGATGTATTTGACAGGAAAGATGTGTTTCTTAATTTAATTACTCCAAGCAGGACTTGTCTAGACTGATCAAAAGGCATAAGATTTTAATTCTCTAAGGTATTAGCATCTGACCACTTTCAAAACCATATCCAGAGTTCAATCAATTACAGGACTGGCTTATGAAGTTTAGTTATGGTGGATGCAATGTGGTACACTGAATTCGTAAGTGAGGACCCTTAGTTAACAACACATCTGTACCAAACAAGTAACACTAACGGCTATAATTAAGCAAATTCTATCTTAGTTAAAAATGGTGATAGGTATTTTCTTATACATATATCTCTAGTATAAATTATATAATAATGAAAAACAGGAATGATGTGCCATTGTAATCTTTTAAGGATGGCTTAATAGGAGAGGACAATTTACTAGCTTTTTTTTTTTAATCTTTATTTTTATGTGGTGCTGAGGATCAAATCCAGTGCCTCACCTATGCTAGGCAAGTGCTCTACCTCTGAGCCCAATTTACTAGCTTTTTAAAGCATGCTTTGACCTTGGTAGTTCATTTTCTTCAAGACTGTTCTGAGCTAATATGTGTTTAACATCATTTGGATGTTTTTACGACTGCTTTGTTCTTTCTACCATCCTTTGCGAGTAGATAAATGCACATAGGTTGCTAGAAATCTTTAAATGTATGATGAAAACATATGAAACTATCCATTAAACAATTACACAAATGTAGGTCTTATTTCTGAATAAGCCTGGAGGTGTGTGTCATTGGAAAATGATGAAAATGACCTGAATTGGCAATTGGTGGCTGGTGGAATGAAGAGGAGGAGGGATGGGGAAACCTCCATTTACTGGAGTGTGAGACTTCCCAGTACTACCTTCTTGTTCTGGTTTCAGGTTTCTCTTTGTTAAAAACCAAGCAAACAAACCCCCTTATGATTGGACTCTGTCCAAGAGTTGTAAAGTAACAGTCAGTAAAAAGAGTTTTGGGATTCCATGTACCAATTTCACTGAGGACTCACAAAAAAACTGTATAAGTCACTTATACCCTGTGTTACTTCAGTTCCTGGATGTGTTCAAAAAGGATTATATTTAATTCTAAAAATAATTAACTAGGGTGACTTTGCAGAATTCTAAGAGAATATTTAATTAAGTAAATTTCCACCAATTTAATAATTATCCTTTGATTGGATGTCATTCTTTATCTATGTTTTCACTAAATTCTAAAATTTTATGTTAATAAGTATATCTTCTTGTGTTAATTCATTTTCCATCTTTATCATCCACATCCTTGGTATCTGTGTTTCATGGATTTCTTTTCTCTGCTAATATCTTTCCTTACTGTTTTGAATCAGTGAGTCTTGCTTCTGCTTCTTCTGGTACTTGGATTCTAGTTAAATCCTCTATATTACATCTTATTTGGATTAGGATTGTTTCCCTTGATATATACTGCCAGGAAATTAGCTTGCTATTTTTCTTATATGCAAAAGATTCATAAATTTTATTTTACAATCAAAGCATAATTGATGTCTAATATGACTAGAAATAATATCTTAAATATTATAATTTCATCAATGGATCTTTATCTTATTTGTTTATGAATTACTCTCCATTGATATAGCTGTCTTTTTTGTATGTGTGTGTGGTAATGGGGACTGAACCTAGGGGCACTTTACTGATGAGTTACACCTCACCTCTTTTTATTTTTTATTTTGAGACAGAGTCTTGCTAAGTTGCTAAAGCTTTCCTTGAGCTTGCAATCCTTTTGCCTCAGCCTCTGAAGTTCCTATCATTATAGGCATGAAACACTGCACCCAGAAGATGTATCAGCCTCTATTATGTAAGTTGGGAGAGGGGAAATTTCACCATTAAATTTAGCATCTGAATTTTGCAGTTATAAATGGAATTAAAGATCATCTGGTTTAAGCCTTTCATGTTATTGATAAGCAAGAGGGTTAATTATTTACTTGTCTAAGATAACTGACCAGTTTTAGGTCCCAAGCTCCTGTTACTATTATTCCAGGCCTGGCATTTTGTATTTGGTTCAAGTCAACTAATGGTGTGGTCAATCCCAAGATAAGCTTATGTGATTGGACTTAGAGAGTGCACCTTTGAGAACTGGCACAGATTCATCCTTCTGCTGAAAACACATATGCCATATAGATGCTTCATTTTGTTTCCAAAATCAATACCACATCACTTCTCAGTGACAGCAATCCATCCTATATTCACTTGACAAACATTTAATTTATGTTGTCTATGAAACAGACAGAAGGACTGCAATTTTGAGGCCTGCCTTGTGATTTTGTGAGACCTTGTCTCAAACAAACAAACAAAAAACAAAACAAATAAAAAACAAGGAGCAAAGAAAGAAAAAAATATAGGGGATGTACCTCCATATTAAAGCATCCCAGGTTCAATGTGCGTGTCTGTATGGGGAGATTTTCTGATTATTTCTTCAACTGTGTTGATTTCTAGAACCTGTGTTGTGATAGCCTGCTTTTTTTTCTTTTTCCTTTTCATTCATAACTGCTGATAACTTTCTCCCTAACTAATCTGAGGAAGTGGTAAAAGTCAAACTTTTTCCTGTATGAGGCCACACTTGGTGCTGTCTGAAACCATCTAGACATGGCTGCCAGGTTCAGACATCCTTATGTTCCAACTCATACCGACTTTGCTCACCAATTCCTGGCCTTCCTTTGCTCAGCACTTGGCTTGACTTCCTGTCTTTTATCGGCGGCAATCTATCAAGACCCTGTAATGTGCTTAGTGCAGGGTAGAACAAGTCAGTACTCCACCTCACAATTTAAGGAAGGCAGGGGGCTAGTTTTTGTTTTTAAGATAAAATCTTTTTAACAAAACACAAATTCCCCCAAACTTCCTTTAAACCAAACAGCATTGTGACACCCTCACAAGCTCTTATTACTTACACAGCCAGATGACTCAAGATTACTAACGTTTCTATTCATAAGGAGTTTGCTGGCCCCAAATCAACACATCGGGCCCTCCCCCATCTTCCTTCTCTCTCCCCAGGGAGATCTACGTTTGGATCTATGTTTTATTAGAATAAAACTGCTGCTGGAACGGTTTGTCCTGGTATTTTATAAAGCCTCTCCTACTTCTTTTTAAAGTTCGCTTTTTTTGGTTTTGTTTTAATGGGTGGGGGAAAGGAGTTCGGAATCTCTTTAGCCCCTAAATCTTCCAATTCAGAAATCTATTGTAAAAATGGGCTATAAATACACTAAGGACCTTGTTCGCTGTTTACTTGGAGAACAGGGTTCATATCAGAAATCACCTGCATCTACATCCTGTCACCTACTGTCAGAGACAGAGCACAGCGAAACAGATGAGCCTGCCTTCTGGGGGGTTACAGTCGAAGCTGCCGTTTCTGCCCACTTTTCGCTTTGGATCTTTCACTTCACACCTTTCTCTGCAAAATTAAATGTAAAAAATGTCTCTACTAAAACCTGAAGGTGTTCCCCGCGGCCTTACGGCACTCGGTCCGGGACGCCCTTCACCTAACTCTGCGCCCTTTTCACAGGGGTTGGTGGCAAGGAGAAAACCTCGCAAACCACGGGACTCAGCCTGTTTCCTTTCGGTAGCGCCACGGTCCGGATTCGCGGCCCTCTCCGAGCCCTCCCCTTCGCGGCCCTCCGC